AAAATACTAGAAAAATGTGTAGCCACATACAAATATGAGGTACTATTTTATGAAGGCTTCTTGGATACCCACGAGTTGTGATTTGTCTCTTATTTGAACTTATTATAGCTTTTTCTCAAGTTCTTTGTTGCTTACCAAATATTTGTTTGGTGTTATTGTACTAGATATTAGTCTAGTAATACTAGATATTACGTTTCACAAATATTGCACAGTTATTAGAAATAGATTCATATCTTCATCTTTCTATTTTTAAATATGATAAGGCCTTGGTAAATTTTATTATGTAATTAATTTTTGTTATTTTCATTGCCCTCTGCTTTTTAGATTCATATAGCTCATAACATTATAATGGACTTATTCTCACAGAAAGTCAAGGTATTATTGTTATATCATTTTATTGTGCTAATATTTCACATGGAATATCTAAAACCTAAGATTTCTTTCTAACATTGTTTATTGCTTTTAGCAGATGGCATTATCTTTGAATGTACGTTATTAAGTTTTTGTGTCAAAAGAGGGAAGGAAAAACTGGGCATGGTGGCACATGCCTGTAATCCTAATGGCTCAGGAAGCTGAGACAGAAGGGTTGCAAGTTCAAAGCCAGCCTCAGCAATGGCGAGGTGCAAAGCAACTCAGTGAGATCCTGTCTCTAAATAAAATACAAAATAGGGCTGGGGATGTGACTCAGTTGTCAAGTGCCCCTGAGTTCAATCCCCAGTACCAAAAAAAAAAAAAAAAATTAAGAATATCACTTACAAAAATAAGGTACCACACCTTATCTATAGCTTAATATTCAGAATTCAGATGAATTTTCTCTTCTCAATAAAAATAAATTTACTGTTTGTTTTAAAACTTTCCAAGCATAGTGGAGTCACAGAGTAGACAGTTGTTCGTTTCCTCCAAAATTTCTTAGATTTTTTTCTTATCTGACCTATAATATTTGAACAACCAGAGCTATGAAGTCTTTTCTCATAGAAAGAAATGCCACTGCTGTCCATTGATTATCATTCCTTGTGGACCTACTTTGAAGTGAGGGGACATACCTAACAACTAATAAGCAGTCATTAAGAGACATCTATCAGGATATGAAGGGCTTGCATCCTTTACCTCTTTTGTAGAAATGGAAGGAAAAGGCAGAACTCCTTGGAAACTGGAATTTATTTTGCTTGAGTTGTACTTGAACATTTTGTTTGGCATTTGTTCAGTGTTTAGGAATTACAATAACCCAATATTGTATTAACATCAATTACTTCTACTTGCATTCTTATAAACTAATTTAAATGAAAGTTGTGTGGGTGGTAATAGTGTATATTATTGCTGCATAACAAGTTGCCCCAAACTTAGAGACTTAAAACAGTACTTTTTAAATCTTGCCTCAGGAATCCAGGAATGGCCGAAGGATCAGTGTCTTTGATGAGATACCAGTCCAAATGCTGTGCCAACTTGTACAGAGACTATATGAAGATTTGACTAGATATGAATAATCTACTTCCAAAGTGGCTCACCCCCATGCCTAGCAAATTAGCACTGGTTGTTGGCAGGAGGCCTGAGTTCCTCACCACATGGATATCTCCCTAAGTCTGCTCAAACATCAATGTAATATTGGCTGGCTTATCTTAGGATAAGTGATCAAAGAGAACAAACTAGAAGTTGCCATGTCTTTTATGACATCATTTCCACAGGATCCTACTGGCTGTTCAAATTAACTCTGTTCATTATGGGAAGAGAAGATACAAGGGTATTAATACCATTAGGGGAAGATCTTTGGGAGCTGTCTACTAAAGCAGATTGTCTAATCTTTGAGACATTTATATAAGTGTCTAATCAATGTGTGACTACTCTTAAGTTTTACTAAAAATAATGTAATTATTGGAATACAAAAGTTTCTCATTTTTCTTTCTTTACCCCAATTACACATTGATTATTGGTCTCTACTATTTGCATGACACTTACCTGTTTCTCAGAAACATGATTAAAGGAGAATCATATCTAGGTAAAAGAATCATTTAGCTTAGTAGGGCTTTCACTGAGGATAACCCCAGTACCTCCATTCTATAAAACCCTCTGAATTTATCAAGCCTTCAGTGAACATTTATTGAAAAACTCTTTAATATGCTAGGTATTGTGAATGCCGGTATCAGTACAAAAATATACAAAAATTATATTTTATGCTAAATATGATAATACTGGTACAGTTGTTGAAGCTCATAGATTCACATTTTAATTTATTTTAAATTTAATTCCTGTATCCCCTGTATTTAGTGGCATAGCTTTTCTATTTCGTTTTCTGATTATTCCCTTGTTACAGCTTACTTACCTCATTGGATTATTGTGAGGATTCAGCAAACAGTGCCAGTGAGTACCAAAGGTAGCTACTTGGTAATACCTGGAGTGATTAATTTGGATGAGGGAAGGTTTTCAGGGACTGGTAAGAACACATTTGAGCTGTCTCTCGTAGAGTGAGTTGGAGTTTAGCCGTTACAAGATGATGATCCTGTTATGAGATTCCAGTGTGGAGTTTGAGGCTGGAAGCTGTGCGGTAGGGAGGCAGGGGCATGCCTTGTGGTGACTTCAGGAGAGCAACTGTAGATGAGCTTTCACAATGACATGAAAAGATGTAAAAGGTTTCCTGTAGAATACCCAGCAAATCATAAATTTTCTGAGTGTTTCCCCAATTAAATTTCTGGATTCTTATTGCCTTCTTAAGTACTATCCAAATTGCTAAATCTTATATGTGTATTTGTGGTTACAAAATTTTGTCACTAGAGTTACCAAAAAAGTTACACCACTCCTTCAAAACAGTTGGAACCTTTTCATGGAGACTTTCAAAAGCAATTGAATGATAGGATTTGGTCTTTTTTGCTTGGTTTGTTTCTATGAAGTGACCTGACTGAAAGGTGAACTGTGGGTGTACTAGTTAGGATGCTTGTAGTAATCAAGGAGGAGACAATTAGTGCCTCAAAGAACTGGTACATAAGAGCCTAGTTCCACTCTTTCCCATCAGATTTGGCATTTCTCATGGGCATCCTACAGCACATTCCTGGGACTCTAGCAGAACTAGTATACCCCATCCCATCCCAGAGAGCCTTGACTCATTTGGAGTTTTGCATTGCAAATCTAAAAAGGAATGCTGTTAATCTCAGGATATGTGTAAATTGGTATGTTTGGGATTATATATGAGGGAGTAAGCACCATATCTTCTTTCCCTTAAGTGTCTGGCTTTAATGATAATTTTATTTTGTGAACAAAATAAGCTAATGATTGTCAGTTTTAGAAACTCCCTTCTCAGTTGCTCATTCCCAACTCCCAGACCTTTTCTTAAAAACAAAACTAAAAAGAGATGAGGCTTTAGAGGGGGGAAAAAAAAAAAGTGGGAAGAGATTTTGATTTAGGTAAATAACAATACTTTACCAGTGAACTAGATTCCAATAATATCCAGGCCCAAGAATGGGAGTTAGGGTGGTTGTTGATCTACTTGGCCTCTTCTTGAATGCTTCCAAAGTGGCCATACAGTCACAGCAGGCTTAAACCCTCCCTTGTTTTTTGGATGCCACTCTCCTGGACCCGCCCTCTTATCAAGCACTTGGTCCTGGGAAGTGTGAATGGCCTGTTTCCTTTGGAGGGAATGAGGTTATATGAAGGCTCTCTGCCAGCATCTGGCACATTAGGATGAAAAGGAATTCTGTGGTTTCTGTAATATCTAATATGCTTAAAGCCTGTTTATTATCATTAGGGGGAAAATCCTGACTACTACTCTCTTTTTCTTTTAAAAGAAACGTGGGAGCAGGCACTAATAGACCCTTATTATATCACAACTGTAACACTATATACAAAATAATCAGGAAGCAAATGGCATTTTTGTAGCAACTATTAAGTTATATGAAGTGTTAGTCTAGTAAGGGATTTGGAGACAGTGTCTCCATCTGGGAAAGTAGCAGCTGTCCAGGGAGAACCTGGCTATGGAAAGGCAAACTGCTTGCTGACTGACTTCCCCCTTGCTCAGTGATGTTTGAAATTTATGTATTTACTTCAATTTTGCATCAGATTTAATTAGTCCATCAGTTCTTTTTCCTTAAGCTATTTCTAATTTAATATTTCATATCATTTTATGACTAAGAATTTAAGAATTGAAATACTTTTAGGTAGTATATTCTATTCATAATAAAAATTGTTCAGTGTCTTGTATTTTTAAAAATGGTTGATGGAAGCTGGTTCTGTTTCTAAAGTAAACTTTCCTATAAATAAATGTAGAAACATCTGTGGAGGGCATCGTCTGAACGTGGCAGACATATGAATTGCGTCAATTCCCGTCTTGTGGCCAAGATTTGTTCCCTAGGCTTTTTTTATAACTAACGTCGTGGCAGAGCTTTACATTCTCACAGCATTAGGCAACAAAGTGGTCAAGAGAAGTGCAAGTTGCCCTCTTTTTTTTTCACATTTTTTAAAATTTGTTTTAATTAGTTGCCCTCTTCTTAAGTTGGGTAGTGGTAGTGATGTGTACTTATCATGGAAAAGTGTGGCATGTTTCATTTGTGTTTGTTAGGACTGAAAACCTGAGATGTCTACTCCAGCTTGATTTTTAGCCCTGGCTTTCGGCAGTTTTCCAAATGTCTAACTGCTTACTACTTTCAAGAAATTGTTGTGATATTGCAGGGAGCTTTGGTCAGGAGAAAAAGAAGGCCAAAAACCTTCCTAGAACAGTACAGTCCATCCAGTGACCTTTTTAAAGAAACAACTGAAATTCCTTTTTCAAAGGGGCAAAAATGCTAATTGAAACCAAACAGAAAATAAACCCATTCCACAAGTGGTGCCATTCAAATAACCAGGGGAAGGGGATGTGGAGGTGGGGAGGGTGGAAGGAAAATTATCCCTGGGAATGTTATTTGAAGCTCCAAGCTTGTATATTTTACTCTTTGATAGTTGTGAGTTAAAATGGGGTGATTTTGCATTTTTAAGATTAAAAATTAGCCAGGACTTAAGACCACTGTGTACCTTTTCAGGTGCCTGTGTAGATCCTCCCAGAATATCTGCCTGGTGCTGTGCTGTGCCCTTCCTCAAGACTACCTCATATTGGCTCTGGCTCAGAGACTCCTACGTGCTGAGGTGAGTCAGAAAACTTGTACTCTTTATACGCATCCTGGAAGCATAGTATTTTTTCAGTGACATTTATAGGTGTATTCATGGGGGAACTCAGGAATCATCATTTGTAAGATGTTTTAATTTGAAAAATACAAAGTATAGTTAGTAATGGTCTTGCCACCATTATAGAATTTTTTGTTCTAAATTTGTGATGACACTAAAAGCATCTTGAACCCCACACCATGCTGTAGGGTTCAAGTTTGAAGTTTGAAACAGAAGTTTTTGAGGTGGTATAGTGCCGGGTTTCTGTTCTCTCGACTAAAAGGCTCAGGGGTCACTCCAGTAAAACTGGGCTGACTGGGCTGCGCAAAATAATCACACAAGAGACACAAATACCTTTTTGTTTGGGGTCGCTGTGAAGGCTCCTCTGACCTTAAGGGTCCGCAGGAAGAGAGAGAGTGTCGGGCTCTGACCCCTTTTATTGAGGAGAAGTTATTTAAATGAGGCAAGGGGTCAGGTTTCCGGGGGCTGAGTCTATCTTCATGATGTCCACTGTCAGCAGGTTGACTGACACCTGGGTAGGCCACACCCAAGGGCACAGTAAGAGAAGGGGACACATACAAGGCACTTCCATGGAAGATTCTATCCTCAACAGGGCAAGGGGTTATATTACAAAGGAACAGGTGAGCATAGCTTCACCCATGGGGCTGTAGCAAGACACACCCATGCATGAGACACCTACCCTCGGATCCAAGAAGGGTGGGGAAAGCTCTGCCACATTTCTGCGACTGAGCGCCTCAGCACCCAGCCGGGGAGTGTGACTCAGTCATGTGTAAAGTTGGTCTCCCACAGTATACCACTGCTTTTGGGCTTTCTGAACACTTTTATACTGATGTTTTGAATTGGTGGTCTCTTCAAAAGCAGAGAAGTGTTATCAGCAGGGAAAAGTTAGAAATCCTTAATGGGTAACTGGTTTTTCTTATGATTCTCCATGATAATTCTGAAATATCCTGTTCTCTTCACTAATGGCTACAGTTGGCTTCATTAAGTAAAAGGGAGCACAAAAATCTCTTTAGGGGAGGATGTGCAACCAAAATGTGTTTCACTTGCTTTTAGTATGCTTGCTGTGTGTGATCTCTTTTCTCTTGAACATTGTAGTGACTTATTGGTCCCAGAAGGGAAAAATAATTTGACCTTGTTTATACTAAGTGAATCATTTATGAATAAACTGTTCACATTGTATAGGTGAATAAACTCTTTAAGGGTACCAACCAGTGTGCTATCTCATAAATTCCTTAGCCCCTCATTTGTAAAAGCTGTGCACTTACATTTGATGGCTCTCAAAGGCCTCACATAAATTAATCTCCTCATGAAATAAAAAAATAATAACTTTAAGTCTTCAAGTAATTGTGAGATTATGCAGAGGGACTGAACTCCTAAAACTGTAGGTCCATATCCTTACTGGTTCAGTTCTTGTATATATCCTGCTGTAGTGCTTGTGTCATTAGCAGTAACCATAACTACAAGACTACAAGTGTATACTAGAAGACAGGGATTCTAATAAGACAATTTTGTCATTTCTGTGTGAGAGCTGAAAAGTCCCAGTGAAGCCCTATTCATAATTTGCTGCTATTTGAAATATGTTTTCAAAAAGAAAATCATAGAAGTAAAAAGGACTATGTATGGGCTGGGGTTGTGGCTCATACAGCAGTAGAGCACTCGCCTAACACATGCAAGGCCCTGGGTTCGATCGTCAGCACCACATTCAAATAAATAAAATAAAGGTATTTGTCCAACTACAGCTAAAAAATAAATAAATAAATATATATATATATATTATTTTTTTTTTAAAGGACTATGTAGCTTCACTAACAAGTTCTCTGTGTGATTGGAGAGTCACTTGAATTTTAGATTTAGCTTCCAATACTGATAAAGCTATGCTGTGAGCTTTCTCTTTTATACTAATTATTTTTTATTTAGGAGGATTTGTGAGTAAGTTACCTTTAAGAGGAACTATGATTCACTCATAGTGATTAGAATTGTGTGGATTTGGGTTTGAACATTTCAGTTATTTGGTTCCTCTGGAGCACTTGCAGTTATTGCATGGGTTGCTTGGAGTTTGCTGCTGAAGAATTTGCATGATTTGCTGTTTCTTCTTAATTGCTCAATATTTCAAGATTATCAGCCTTTGTTGGGTTGGGGATGTCGTACAGTAGTAGAGCACTTGCCTAGCATGTGTGAGGTGCTGGGTTCAATCCTCAGCACCGCATAAAAATAAATAAAGGTTCATCAACAACTAAAATAAAAATAAAAAGATTATCAGCCTTTGAAATTTTTACTTACAGTGCAAGGAGACTCTTCTTTTCTTTTCTTTTTTCTCTTTTTTAAAGGAAGTTTTGTTTGTTTGTTTGTTTTAAATAACCAAAAGGTCTGCCAGGGCTGGGGTGTAGATACATGAGAAACAGAGAGCTCTTTAACCTATGAGGGCTAGCTACTGAAGAAGCTGTTGTTCCTTGCCCACAGGAGAGGGTGACTTCCCTTAGCTTTTCTGATATAGTATCTAATTTTGATAATGTTAACTTTGATGGGTAACAAAAACAACTTTGAGGTTTCATTGTTGCTACTGTAAAACTATTTTACTTTTTTTGTTTGTTTGTTTCACGGGCTAATGTAAATTTTTAATGTCTTACAATCAGAATATTTCAACTAAATCATATTTTTTCCATCAAGACTTCAGTTCATCTTTCTTTTAGAAAATGATGATGAGAATAATACATATTTTATTTAAACAAGGCACCTTTTTTAGATTCATAAATCTGAAACTAGAACAGACTTGAAAGCCTGTACTTTGTGTAAAAAGATAGATTCAGTAAAACAGTAAATTTTACAGATTATTTTATTCATTGTTTTTCTTTCAGTTTAAAATAGGCTATAGTCTTCCCTCAACCCCTTTTCTGGTACCTTCCTGTAAAAAGCATTAGTGAAGGAAAAATAATGATAAACAGGACTTAACTGCATAATATTTTTTCAAAACTGCCTTGCAAATAATTTCACACAGTTTCTTTTTTTTTTTTAAGAGAGAGATAATTTTTTAATATTTATTTTTTAGTTTTTGGCGGACACAACATCTTTGTTTGTATGTGGTGCTGAGGATCGAACCCGGGCCGCACGCATGCCAGGCGAGTGCGCTACTGGTTGAGCCACATCCCAAGCCCCTCACACAGTTTCTGGAATGAAGCATACATAGTATTGTAGTATGCTTCCGGTTGGGAAGTAGTTTAAAAATACTCTCAATATTTTATATTTTAAACTGGGTGTTTATGTATGTTCACTTTAGGTTTTCCATCCATATTATTTTAATGGAAACTATTTTTCCATTAAAAGTCAATTATGTTTATTTTAAGGGTTTAGATAAAGGTATTTATAAATAAAACTTGTAAAGAGGTGTTTATTGTTGTTACAATCATTTGTATGTACAGATTTTAGAATGCTTAAAGTTATCTTCCAGAGAAGAAACTTGGTAAAGAAAGGGTGACATTTTTTTTCTGTAATTTAAGTTGTCATAGTAATTTGCCTCAATACACATACTTAGAATCCAGGCTTGAAGAATTTCAGTAACAATAAACATTCCAATTGCATTCATCATCCTTTTTTTTTTTTTTTTTTAACCAAAAAAGGAGCTATCCATTGTGACTCAAATATTTTATTTCTGTTTAGAAGATGGAGAGCAGTTTGTCAGTTTTAGCACTTTGAAACTTTGTTGGTGGAATAGAACTGAAAAGTTCAGCTGTTTTTATTTTAGGTGGACAATTTCTGATGATGTGTCACAATTTTTTTCAGGTTTCGAGATAGGTTCAGTATAATGTTAATTTAATGAAATTTGAAAAGAATCACAATTGGATAAGAACTGAAGAAATTATCGTATCTGTTAACATGCAAGTCTAATATTAAGAGTATTAGAATCTGGTTTTCATGGAGTGCTGATTTTAAGAATGTTATCACTTTCTTAATGCCAACTTGTTAATATTTTTATTTTATAGCACATCACACTATTAATGATGAACAAATGATTTTAAAAGTTTCATTTTTACTTATAAAATAGAAATTTGTAGTCAGACATTATTTTTAAATATTCTCAGAGTAGGGTATTATTTCCAAAGAGAAAGCCTTTTTTTTTTTTTTTAAGGATTTTCTTTGTTCTTGTTTTCTGCAAGATTGCTAACCAAGATTATTCTCCTTAAGCAAGGAATATAAGGAAAAATAAAGAGATGAAAAAGAGAGAGAGAGTGTGTGTGTCTGAATGCGTATGCACATATATGTGTGTCCAGTTGTTTTGGGAAGTTTGGAAAATAAACTGGAAGAGTATATAGCCAGAATAATTTGTGGAAAAATGTATAAAAATTCATTTACTGCAAAAATGTGAGGAAAAATAAAATCACCCATTCTGTCACCCCATTATTTCCTTTTTTCAGATTGTCCTCTAATAATATTTTGTGGAAAGTGTCTACAATTTTATAAACAAAATTCATACTCAATGCTAAAATACTAATGGTAGTAAAACATTAGAATTTTATCCATTTCTAGAATTAGTACTATGCTTGCTTTCATGATTTGCTAAGAAATAACACTGAAATATCTAGCTAGTGTGTTAAGTAAAAAGATCTTCCTTCCCAGTAATTCTGTGGGGATAGCAGAACTATTGGGAAGGAAGATAAAACTATTTCCATTTAAAAATTTCCAAGACAACTATAAGTAGCAGAGTTTAGTAAAGTTCTATTATAAATAATGTAAATATCATGATCTTTGGTATGTAGTAACAGTAACCAATTAGAAAGTGACAAAAAGGGAGCCCATTTATAGGAGCAACAAAGAATACACTAAGGATTAAATTTGATAAGAAATGCAAACTGCCTGTAGGAAGGAAACTATTGTACAATTCTGGGAAGATAGGAGACTTTCTGGGTAGAAAAACAACTCATTAATTGTTTTTAATGTATTTGTATTGATTTATAAGTTTAGTACAA